GCGGAAGTTAACTAAGTGTGTGTAAACAAATAAGGATGGTTATGTTTGGGCCAATGCCTTAGTTAATTCTAGAAGCTATATGAAAATGCTTTTGTAAAATTTAGACTATCTCAAATTAAATATAAATAAAAGGTTTTTGTAAAATTTAGACTATCTCAAATTAACAACTTGTATTCGTTTCGATAATTTATGCCACTTAAAATGTTTATTATAACGTAAACCAGAGGAATGATATAGTTTCGTGATGTTATACAAATCTTTATAATTTATTACTTTTACTGTGATGCTTATGGTCAACGGAAAAAATATGTTTGATTACCTTAAAACGGCAAGACATAACTGTTTAATCTCGGGTCTTCAAGTTCAAATTCGGGTACATTCGAACATTTTATACTTTCGCAATTTTAAAAGCTCAATGCAATGAACTTTTTTTAGACATTCCAAAACTTTATAATAAAAAATGTTGCATACAAATTCAACATTTAACGATACTATCTTTTTAACTTATATGTATAATAGGTTATAAACTCACTAAGCTTCATTACTCATGTCCGTAATATTTATATTAAAATCAACCTTCTTAACTTAAGAGTATAGTATATGTACAATGTACATACATATTTGATGTAAACTCAACCAAAGGGGGGTTATTGAGTATATGAGGAAAACATCAAGCAGAGGAAGGTCTGAACTGATTGCATTCACTTTTGGCATAACTCAAATGTACTCGAGAACTTGTTTCTGCTAGAATAACGAAAATCGTAACATGTAGTATATGAGATCTGGGATAACTCGTGGAGCGAGTTCACATATTTTTGGCATTAAATGTAATACATATATCAATTATTATACATTCTCTTAATTTTATCCATTTTTGGCATTACGTCCGGAAGTTCGAAAATCTTTATATTAGGTATATGTGGCCTCAGTGAAGTATTAATCCGATTTTACCCTTTTTTGACCCAAGGCCATGCTGTTATTATAAAAAGATCTTCTCCAAATTTTAATGATATCGCACAAAAAAGTAAAGAGTCACACATAGTCGGTGGGGACTTGAAAAGTTAAGGATTTCAACAATTTTGATACTTGAGATGGCCTACCTTTAAGCACTATTTGTACAACGTTTTATTTGAGGCAATAGTCCAATTCCGTCCATCTGCAATACCAACCTCTCATGGAAAGCCAACCAGATGGGTGAATTCGGTATATAGGATTAAAGTAAAATGTTATTCGATTTTAACTATTTTTGAACCAAATCACACCTAGCTCAGAATGATGCTCAAGTCATTTTATTGCGATCCGAAGCTTCTCATATTAACCAGAGGAACATATGGACTGATTCCATCCATTTTTAGCACCAAACTCTAATATCCTTAAGAAAATAAGCCAATACTATTTCATAAAGATTTTTTCTTTTGAGCGCGAATATCCTCCCATTGGTAATATGAGAATTGAGGAAGGTTTCGGGGAAAATTAGATGAAATCGGACTAGAACAACTTCGATTCTGAAACGCGTCAGTTTACATACAAGTACATTAACCTAGCAAAATCCAGCGCTAATAGTTCTCTTAATATGCTTTGGAAATAAAATATTTTAGATTTAGCATTAAATATGAATATAATATTTACTAAAACCGTTTTTGGATTGAGTTTTGTACTAAGTAACTTTAGTTTTGTATTAATTAGTATTAGTAATATACTCATACAAAAATTTGACTATAACAAGTTGCAGAAAATATGGGATGTTAAGGTTTACTAAATATAGTTGGTTGGTTGGTTTTCAGGTAAGACAAAACTAATATTTGTAGTCAATGAGGCCATACCTTGCATGAGCTTAAACTTATTATCTAAATGGTTGACATTTGGGGAACAATAACAGTCGCTAACTCGCCCTTCAGGGATATTTCGCAAATGAAACGCCTTCTTATACAAGCATAGTGTACTATTTAGGTGAATGAATGTTGGAATTCGCGGGAGTGTTCCTTATTAAAATTTACATAGCATATATTCCCACATACTGTTTCCCAACATGAACCGGACAACAGTTCAATGTGAAGGCGCTAAATCAACATACGTATACACATACATACAGATATGGATACGAGGTTTAGCCATCAGAAGCTTTTGGTTATAAAATGTGTTGCATATGAACGTGGTTCAAGGAAATTTGTCAATTGGGAAAATGACATTTTAACGTATATTTTAAATTACCTGTTTTTAATACACATATGTATGTATTCGTCCAAATATTTTGCGACAACAATATGATTTAAGCAATGGAAGGAAGTGTGCACGAACATAGAATGACATAATAGTGTCAAATTATTAGTTTAGACGCATACTGCCAACATTAAGTATGGGATAAATTCATACAAGTAGATATCTTCAATAATTGTTTCATGATAGGTGAATATGGAATATGGAAAAATTTTATATTATTTATAATAATAATATATTTATTCATAATAATAATGACAATAATGCCACTCACTTCTATGCAAATAGGTATAGGCATATTTCACAGTGGTTGCATATTTCATTTCACCAACTCATAAAAGTAACTTTCACACTTATGAATACATACATATACGAGAACATGTGTGTGCAGCAACGTAGCAACGTAAATGACGAATACGAATGACCTCTACTGACAACACTGTAATTTATAGCCAAACAGTTGATGTATTTCCTTGGTTCAATGAGTGTTTCATATCTCTTGATGACACTACTAATATTTTAAGATGTATACATAGTAGAAATTTTAATTTTTCGTTTTTTTTTTTCTGTTAACTAATAATGAAGAATGCGTTGAGTATGAAAACACCAAATTACTATTGTATATTGAATAACAAATATTTTTAAACAAATACCGAAGTGTCTGCAAAATTTTATTATGTCAAAACTTTTTCGTTTTGTGTAAAATGCAGCGAGAATTATTGTATAAGTAGTACCAGGCTAGCTTATTCTATAGAGCTGTGCTCACTTAGCTTCTATCCTATAGATTTTTTGAGTATTGGCTACTTAACATTAGTATAATCAGCATATTATAGTGGGAGAAAGCATGATATCAATCATATTTGGTACAATCACATTATGCTAAATGTAACATAATCATATAATTTTATTGAAGTATCTGCGTCATTATCCGTGATGTGTAGTCAACTTCCAGGGCAATCTGAACTTTTTTCATATATTATATTTTCTTAAGCATATTTAAGAAAATACATATGTTCGTGTATATTTGTGATATTCGAGGGTTGAATAGAATTGAGAGATCCCTAATATTTTTGATCAGAGTTGCCACATGGCAGGGTCACTATTTCCGTTTTATTCTGATATATTTCTTGATATCTGCGCTATCAAATGTAAATGCAATTTAACTAATGGCATTAAGTATGGGTTCATATTGAAATTGTTATAATAATATGTAAAATAATATGTAGCTAAACCTACTGTATGAATACGTATTCATTTTTAATTGAAAAAGCCACAGACATCTCATGATCAACACTTATTAAGACGTCCATTTGTATGCACATTCATCCCTTCTGAACACTTTTTTACTCTCGAAAAAAATTTGCTGCCACTTTAATATTACGTTTAATAAAGGAGGAAAGCAATAAAACCTAGTTTAATCCTTAGATTTCATTCAGTTTAAATTCAATATTGAATTTAGTCTTACAATCTGTATGTACAAGTATTAATACATATTATATATATATTTTTTAATTTTAACTTATACTATTGTAATAAATTTTTATTTCAATTCATTACTACAATGGAAAGTACACAAGTATTAAAGCATTCTGTACTATCCGCATACCTAATTTTTACCATTAAGTCTACAACACACCAAATACATTCGAATAAAATCGAGTAATTATCAACACAATGGTCATTTGAGTAAGCTGATGTTTGGTAAACATAATAAATTTTAATTGCGTGAATACCTTAGCTACGTTTATTCAATATAATAAAATCACTAAATTCCAATTAGCACAACTAATTCCTTTAACGTACAATTCTATTGTATATTGATGGAAACTTTAAAGAGACTATTCAAACTATTAATGAATGAGCAGAATCAAGTATTTGTTTTAATGGTATAGAACTCTCTTCAATTTACATCAGGATTTTACGAGCATCAGTATTAATGACCTTTATATCGATTATACTGCTTTCCTATTTAATGTGTAGGTACGAGATTTCGCAAGGGTTCTTAGGTATTAGAAACGTAATATTGACACTTCGTGAGTATATGACTAAGAAGGCAGAATAATAAAAAAATATTTAGTAAATAATGAAATTTTCTCCATACAACTTTTTTCACAAAAATATGGGATTTTTTTTTAAATCCTCTTAATTAATTGTTCTCTATAACAAAGTTTAAAATTTTAGATATGGTCCGTTGCCTTAATAATAATAGGGCGATAAAACGAACGAAATTATGTTAACTTATTATTGGGTGAAAATGTAAAGTGTTACTATGTACAATATAACCATTTAACTTTTATAAAGATATCTATCTTTATTTTGATCGGTCAGTTTCAATAGCAGGTATATGCTATAGTGGTCCATATGAAAAATATGTTTGGAGATTGTAGCTTTGCCTTGTACAATTACTTGATTTGTCAAAAACTGGGGAACCAGTTTGCGTGTATACACAGATGGATATGATTAAATCGATTCACATCGTTTCGCTGATTATTTATATATTCTAGGGTCTCCGATGTTTGCTTTTAAGTGTTACAAACTTCGTTGCAAACTTACTATACCCTGT